GGGGGGGGGTCAAACAAGTCAAGATGGCGGCTGTGAGTGCAACTGATCCCCCCGAATATTTTTAATGTGCGTCACAACACATGTAAAAAAGGGGTAAGGCTTGAATCACAGTGTCACGACCACCATCTTGACTTTTTTTACCTCCCCCAGGGACACTTCTGCAAATATAGAAATATATTGGATTTTAGATGCCGGGCCAATATAGAAACTCTAACTAAGAAGAGGCATCCTCTTTCTTTCAGAGAGCAAAGGAACACCAAGAAGGTGCCAGTGTGATTTGCGATCCAGGCCATGCCCATCTTAGAAGAGGATCCTTTCCCTTTTGGAGAAGATACGCTCCAACTCGTTCTTCTCGTAATACAGGAGAGAAGGAAGGATGCAAAACATACCCTTCTCCCCTTGCAATCTGACTTTGCATAACAACTAGTGATCCTAAATTCTGCAGGTAGCTTTCACAGCCCAGGTTCAGAAGGAGGAACGGTAAAATAAATACAGGTACTCCTCACTTAACAACCACAATTAGGACTGGCAACTCCATTGCGAAGCGACATGGTTGTTAAGAGAGATATTGTGTGATCGTGACTTGCAACTTCCTGCCAGCTTCCCCACTGACTCTGCTGTCGGAAGCTGCTTTGAAGTATGGAAATGGTGACCATGTGACCATGGGACACTGCAACGGCCATAAACGCCCACCAGTTGTGAAGTGCCCAAATCTTGATCACATGACCATGGGATGTTGTGATGGTTGTAAGCATGAGGACTGGTTGTAAAGTTACTTTTTCAGTTCTGCAGCAACTTTGAATGGACACTAAACAGGGCAGTCATTAAACAAGGTCTACCTGTAAAAGCAGAGAATAAAATTAGACTTGCCTGGGAGTCTTCCCTGCGGCTCAGGACGGGATGAGTCTTCAAAGATGGCTTCCCTGTTGTTGAGGCCTCTGTAGGCAGCATTGCCCAGGTGGACCCTCTGGTGCTTGGTCAGGTACGGCCTCCAGCGGAAGCTCTCCCCGCACTGGAGGCACTTGTACGGCTTCTCCCCTGTGTGGATCCTCAGGTGCTCCGTCAGGGTGGAGCGCCGGTTGAAGCTCCGCCCGCACCGGGGGCACTCGTAGGGCTTCTCGCCCGTGTGGATCCGCCGGTGGGCACTTAGGTGGGAGCTCTGGATGAAGCGCTTGCCGCAGGCCAGGCACTCGTAGGGCTTCTCGCCCGTGTGGGTCCGCCAGTGCAGCAAGAATTCCGACTTGCAGTGAAACCACCGGTCGCATTCCGGGCACATGAGCTTCTTCCGCCCGACGTGGAACATGCTGTGCTTGGAATTGGCCACCCTCATGTGCCTGGAGGGCTCCCGCCAGACATGCCCCGCCTGCAGCTCCCACTGCCTCTGCAGGCCGCACCGGCCCTCCGACACCAAGGAAGTGTTCTCCGGGGGCGCCCCCAGCAAAGTCCACTGAGGATCCGCTGGATCCAAAACTTCAGGTTCCGCAATCTCTTCCTTGATCTCCCTCACGATCACCTCACTTGCTGGGATAGTGGGGGAAGTCAAAGGAAAGTTATTTCCTGAAATAGAGAAGGGGGAGGATGTAAGAGGTAGAGGAAAAGAGTCCCTCTATGATTCCCAACTCATTTCTAATTTCCCAACTAAATTAATTAGTTTTAATTAGGCTCAATAGTGTGCGGTTTTAGGGTACCATTGTCAGGTTCAGCCCAAGAGTCACACAAGAGAGTCCAGAAATCAGCTCAGCTTCTTTATTAGCTTGCACCTACTAGACAGAATCTCGCCAGACTAACTCTAATTCCCCAACGAGAGCAACTATAACCATCAAGCCCTTAGGGAGGGGCCAGTCTCTTCCTCCTGACTTTCACGCAGTCCAGCCGGGGGCTGAGGAGATGCTTGGAGTGCCACTCCCCTGCCCTGTAACCTTGAAGCTCCATTCCAGAACCCTCCCTGCTTGTGCCTTCCATCACACCATCCCTGAATCGCAACAGAGAGAGGCCCATTAGAATTTCCCACCCTTGAGGAGGTTACCCATTGCAACTCTGAATGGGTTGCTGTTCTTGTTTTTCTTCTTTCTCTGCAGATAGTTGAAATTACACTTGTAATTCTGCTGCAACGGAACGGAAAGACATACTATTCAGTCACTTTCTGAACAGAGCTTCAACATGCTTATCAGAAAAGACTGCCTGTAGTATCTCTGAATGAATCAGTGTTCTTTTGGAAGATCATTCCTTTGAAATCTCAGTTAGCTTGTCCCAACCTGTTCATCTAAAATTCCTTAGATGAAAATCCACAATCAGTGGCTTCATTGCTTGGGGAAGCCGGAACTGTAAGCCAACAACAGTTGGAGTAATAACTGAGTGATTCAGTATATGTCTTGTGTAGTGAATTCTCTATAGCAGTATTTCTCAACCTTGGCAACTTGAAGAGGTGTGGACTTCAACCCCCAGAATTCCCCAGCAAGACTTGCTGGCTGGGGAATTCTG